GGCTGTGGAATCTCCATCCTTGGATGTTCTCAAGACTCAGCTACACAAAACCATAGCTAACCTGATCTAATGTTGGCAATAGTCCTGCTTCATGCGTGAGGCTGGACTAGAAGCCCTTAGGGATCCCTTCAAATCAACTTTTTTAAGCTTTTACATGTTTTACCTGAGCAATGAACACCACGTGCTTTCCACTGAATTTCTTCTCCAGCTCACGAACTAGCCGCACCTGAATCTTCTGGAACGATTTCAGCTGAGGAACTGGTACGAAGATAATGATGGCTTTTCTGCCACCACCCACTTCAATTTCCTGAAACACAAGTAGGAAATAAAGACTATTTAGGGGTCACCAAGCAATGTTTGGTTTGATCGTGAATACTCTGAACAGATATTTGGTAATCTTGCTTGCAACTTTGGGGAGTGCAGGGGGCAGAAGGAGCATCTGAGAGCGGTACCTGTTTTAATGCATTTAAGATCAAGCATTAAACAGAAAAGCCTCCATCACAGCACTTGCTTTTCCTGTAAATGAACGATTGGGCAATCAATCCCACCACTCCTTTCAGCCACATCCACTGAATAACAAAGCCCACTCCTTCTGCAGGATGATATCACTCAGGTGATAGAACCCTAAATACACTGAATGCTTACCGGATCTGCAGCTGTGCTTACATGCTGATACGAAGTTGTAAAAACTATTTGCCTCTAACACAGACTCTAGACTAAGTTTACAGCAATAAATCCCTTATTTCTGAGCTGCTACTTCATGGAAATCATCTTCTGTCCACCACTTGCCAAGGCCTGCATTGCTATTCAAACAAAACATTTACTTCCCCTCCGAATGCCTGCAGGTTGACATCACACCACCATGGATGACTTCTCCCCTGGTTTTGTTCTTGAACAGTTGACCAAACCCAAAAAAGTTTGTATAGGCTTACAAGGCATTTCTCCCATAACCCCAACTGCAGACATCCTCCTTCTCAGACAACAGAAAGCTGAATGGTTTTCACCAGTTACATTCCCACATGAGCTAACTCATGTGCGCACAGGAGATTCCTCATGAGTAAAACTAAGCAGCAAAGTAAACAACAAAGACTTTTTAAAACCTCACTGAGGACAGTACGCGTTGCTGCACTTCTTCTGAAGGCCTCTGAACTCAGATAGGAAGCCAACTTCTGCATTCCCAGATTCTTTAACTTAACTCTAAGCAGTTGAGCGTCCATGTCTGTGTGCATACTGGTGGGCCTGGGCAAGAACCAAGAAGCAGCCTATTTGAGTTTTTGGTTAGAGCAACCAGCTTCAGAAGCTCCAACCAGTCTTCAAGGCTGACAAATTCTAACACATTCTTTTTTGCTCCTTTTCCACTGATTTTCTTCTTCATTTTCTTCCTTAAAGTTTCAGTTGCCTTTATAAATTAGGACTAACATTTCCAAATAGGGTAACCCACATGATTAAGTCTATTACCTCAATTCACCTCCTATCTATTACTTATCTATTACTTGGTACATAAAAGAGAATTTACAACAAACTGATTTTACAGGGAGCAATACAGTTCACGTTCCTGACCAAGATTCCGCAATGCCCGCATTGCCAGGCAGCATCCACGCACAAAAAGCCAGTTTCAGTTCTCAAGCCGATTTTGCAGACACAGAAAGTAACGCTACCATTTTGAAATGTTTATTTAAAAACACCAAACTGCCATTAACTTTTCAGACCAGTTCCTAAAAAAAATAGTTACAAGATCCTACAGATTAACAGCAAATACCAAACAATAAACCATGACAGCACACAGGAAAACAATCACAGGCTGTAAGATACAGTTAAGACACCATTCGACTACCATGTTAACGTTCACAAAACTTAAACCCACACAGAAAGCAAGTCACCGACCCATTCTTCGTGGAGAAGATCCAGCCTACCTTAGCTGCTGTGATGTTCAACTCCCGCAGCTGAGCTTTTAAGTCAGAGTTCATTTCCAACTCCAGCAGAGCCTAGGAAAATAAAATTGCAGAATCCATCACATACAGTTGAACTCATAACCCTTGAGACTGAAGCCTGTGTGCCAGAAAGCAGCTATATGCTTTTGATCACAATCAATATCAAAGACTTAACTTCCTGGAAGTCATACTGACAGACACAAAAAATTCAACTGGTGGGAACACAGGCTGACTGCCTTAAGTAAAACTTGGAAAGAGTACACGTTTAGACAGCATCACCCTCAAAGTTTAAGCTCTAGACAACTGTCACAACACCGTCTTCGTAATCTGCAGTTGGCTACTAAAGAGCAGGAAGAGACACGTACCTGGGATATACCAGACTCGAACTCATCTGGCTTCTCGCCATTAGGCTTCACAATCTTCGCGCTAGAGCTGAACATGGCCGCTCTGCAAGGCAAAAGAACACCTCTGCTGTCACCATCACGGCGGTGCTCTGCCGCAAACACACACCACACCCCGCAACCCGGCGACTCGGCCACATGCTTCAGAGCGAAGCCAGAGAGAGGGCTCCCGCAGGCCGCTCAAGCCCCAGCACACCGCTCCAGGGAACGCCGACCACAAGAAGAGAAACCCGTCCCGAGGAACGGGCAGCCTCCGTGACAAACCCACCGGGACCTAACAGCCCGCCCGCCCACCGGGGAGCCCCGGCCGCTGCCAGGCCCCAGCAGCCGCAGGAGGCCGCCCGGCCGCTCCCTGAGCCCCACGTGTGGCCGGGCGAGCAGCGCTTCCCGCCCGGCGGGGCTCCACGCCCGGCCCGGGCCCCCTCCTCCCGCCCGGCGGCCCACAGCCCCGCCGCCACGGCCTCCCTCCGGAGGAGAAGGGCGGAAAACCCCACCGGCTCCCCTCCCCCAGCACCAGGCGCCCCGGCGACCATCGGGCCTCGGGCGGGCGATAATCGGGGGCATCCCCGCCCCCGGGCCTCAGCGGGGAGCGCCATTCGGTGCCCAGCTCCGTATTGCGGCGGCGGCAGGAGAAAAAGTCCTCGGCGGCGCCGGGGCCCGCACCGGGCCCGGGCACCCACCTCTCTCGGCGCCGGCCTAGGAAAAGGGAGAGCTCTCGCGAGAGCGGCGCAGATCGCGGCCCGCGAAAGGCGCTGGGCCCGCCCAGGCGG